CGTCAACAAACCAGCCACCCTCCAAGAATTCAAAAACAACATCATTGCCGAGATAAATGCCATAGAACCGACCATGTTGCAAAATGTCATTGAAAATTTTGACCATCGCGTGGACGTCTGTAAATCCAGTCGTGGTGAACATTTGAGCGATATTATTTTTCATACATAAATGGTATAAATGAACCTTCAAAATAAAGTACCCAACTTGATTTGAATATAAATCTTTCTTGTTTGAATATGCGTTTACTTTCATGCGTCCGTTTTGGCCAACCCCATATAAAATGGTCATAAGACCCGCACCTACGCATGCGCGGCTTGGTGTTTTCTTGCCAAGACGCACATGCAGAGACTGTAACTCCTGCAAAACAGAACCCTACGAACAATTACTAGCACGCCTTGGTACGTGCCAAATGAGACCATTCACAGATATCTTGATATCCCATATCTAAGGGATTATGTAAAACAACAGGCGCAGCGGCGTTATAAACAAGCCGTATCGCACAGCAACCCTCTGTTGCGTGATTCAGTAGACTGCACAGTCAAGTTCGCAAACATTCCAGGTCGCGCCTCGAACTGTGATCAAAATTAAATTGTTAATTCAGACCAGCCAAAATTATTTCAGTATACAAAACCGGTCAAAATTATTTTTTGGAGCTACAAAATAATTCGAGTAGTCAAAGCAATAATGCTTAATGATTTACTTCTTTTATTCGCTCTATTTCTTCCTTCCTTTCTTTCCTTCTTTCCCTTTTCCCCTTAAACATGTTTGGTATCTGGGTAGCCAGACTTGATACACTAACAGACCGACGAGACTTTTAACTAAGAGCAAAGGTCCACCGGACCGCTCTGACGAATAACGACGAATAGTAGTAAATAATCCTCGAATTGCCAACAGTTGTCAATAGTTTCGGGTTACTTTGTGCAAATTTTGTGCTTACCAAATACGTTTTACGAACTATGAAGCTTGCAGTCTATTTTGTATCTCTTCAGAATGCCGCAATAGCAAAAAGATAATTGAAGCTGCAGTTTTGTCTTTCCATGAGAGGCTTCAGGAATGCGTAGGTGTGATGGTCAGCGTTTCGAGCATTTACGAGGGCATTGAAAATCTTTCTATTTTAAATCATCCTTTTTACGGACACAACTTAATAATAAAAAAAACGTCCAGAAAAATTAGTTCAAAAATGTTTTTCTTTGGCTTGAATTTTAGGTTAAAAACAAGATATCGAGATGCGGTTTTCGCAAGCTTGCTCAGACATCATTTAGCTACTTTCTCATTAAAAAAAAACGAGTATACTTTATCTGAAGTCACTTGAAACACTGTGAAATACCGGCTGCGTTTTATATATCTATATTTAACACGCTCTGTTGCTGCAAAAATCGCCAAATTTCGCAGCAAATATCCCCCGTATAAGATCAAAAGCAGTTTCACCGGTCCACGTGGAGTAAAGCACGCCTATGCGTGGACATAGCCAATGAAAAAGCATGTATTTCAGAGCTCCGAACAAGTGCAGGTGGCTACTGAAAATTGAAACAGTTTAGCCAGTGCCGTGTGGCGGTGAATAAACGTGTTTTCTTTAGTCTGTCCGTGTCTTTTCATAGATTTTATTAGTTTGTGTGTTTTTGACTTTTGAATACTCAGTTTACTTGTTGATTTAATTGTTGTGTTGATTGTTCTTGTGTGTCCTAAATATGGCTCTTTGGAGACCTTGGGAAAATGCTCCAAGCCACGAGGAGATGGTTGATGAACCTGTGCAGGCAGAATTCTTCCATAAAGATTTAAAGGAACAGACCCAAAGAGTAATCCTAAATATGTATGATTGTCTGAAAAACGAAAATCCAGATTCCTCGCAAAATCAAATTTTAAACAGAATTTGTATCCTGACAAAAATCAGTCGGTCTACCATTTATCGGGTTATAAAAAGGGGAGATGTAGTCAACCATTCCTTCCACAGAAAGCGCATAGGGCAAAAATTAAAAAGAATAGACGTGGGTTTTCAGGAAGATATTCGTCGTATAATATACGGATTTTATAAAGAAAATTTGGTGCCCACGTTGGAAATGATACGGGATAAATTAAAAGATTATCCTGAAGATTTTTATAATTACAAATGCTTAGACTCACTGCACTGTATTGTAAAACTGTGTGATTTTCAATACAAAAAATTAGATAAAAGAATGGTGATTATGGAGTCGTCTCGAATCGTTGAATTGCACCAAGAATTTTTGCACGTTAAAATCTATAGAGAGCAGGAAAGAAATCTGATTTACCTGGATGAAACGTGGTATGATACCCACGATGTTGTGCAGTACGGCTGGGTTGACGACAGCAATAAGTGCATTTTAAATGCACCATGCAACCATGGAAAACGAATCATTATTCTCCATGCTGGCAGTGAAAATGGATTTATACCTAATGCCTTGCTGTTATCTGCCAAAAATACCAAAGAATCATGTGCCGACTATCATGAGGACATGACCTCCGACTTATTTGAAAAGTGGATAGAGCAGCAGTTAATACTAAACATTTCCCCAAATTCAGTGATTATTATGGACAATGCGCCATACCATTCCCGACAGAAAAACAAAATTCCGAATACAGGCACAAAAAACAAGACATTATTGATTTTATGAAGGATAAGGGAATGGAAATACCACAAAAATCAACCAAAGCCATATTACTGGATCTTATTAAAAGACAAAAATTTGAAAAAGAGTATGTTGTTGACAATCTGCTTCAGCAAAATGGCCATGAAGTATTACGTCTACCTCCCTATTACTGCATTTTTAACCCGATTGAGTTGGTCTGGGCTGCTTTAAAAAAAAAGTAAGAAAACATAATCAGACTCCTCAATTAAGTGAATCGCTATTGGCCACAATAAGAGATGCAGTATCTCATATTGCTGCCACAGACCTATGGAAGCAGTGTTCTAGGCATATTATTGAAAAGAAAATGAATATTGTGTTTTGCCTCCTGTAAATCCCGTTGTAATTCCTCTACAAGATGACTCTAGCGATAGCTCCGAATGCGAGGATGATATATAAATACCTATAATGTAAGTCTTTATATACCTTTTTATATACCTACCTGCTACGTAAATATTTGCCTATGTCAAACGTTGGAATTCTGTAATTTTTCCATTTCTTAACTTTCAGTCAACATAAATTAAACTCCCAATATAAGTATTTTTTATCCTAAATCAAAAAAATAAGAAGATAGTAAAATCCATTTATTGTGATATAAAAACATTATTATTATCGTTCTAAATAAATGACCGCACGCCTATGATACGTCATAAAATTACAAAGGACGCGCCGACCAAAGGTTTTTATGCTATTTCAAGTGACTTCAGATAAAGTATACATTTAATTTTTTGAGAAAATGAAGCATTTCTATCGGAATGTCGAGAAAAGCCTTCTAGCGGACACATGTGAAACTAACAAAACATCAAATATTATAACATTTGTAGCCCAATAACAGCGCCCCACCACTTTATTTTCAGAAATAAATAATTGTCAAACTAAAAAGTTTACATTACCATCGACTTTGAAGGTCAAGTATTTTTTTGTTAGGTTAATATAGAGGAATTCACAGAAACATCACTTTGCCGGCCATTTCAGAAACTCATATTTTCCGAGCTTGTCTCTTGGCCTTTTTAATAGTAACTATTTCTGCCGCAAGCCTCTACGATGTACGAGTAACTCGCACTCTAAGTTAACCGCCCTATACAGCATGAGTATTCACGTTAAGCAAAATCTATGAGTAAAAACATGCAAAATAACTCCTAAAATATAAGAATACTTTTCGGACTTCAGGCAAATACCGTTTTGATTAGAGAATACAAAACATTGTTTTTGCTTTTTCCGAACATATATGAATTAGAAAAAGCTGTTATGTAAAGATTAATGTTGTCATAAAACATTCAGTGAAATTTAATGTCTGTATCTGCTTTACCCGGGGAAGTATAATCACTTTTTTGTCATCTACATACCGAATAGGTACAATCTACATAGAATTATTTATTTTCTGACGCATAAATCAATTCAGATACTTTCCCCTATTCCAATTCCATTATCGTTCCTGTAATAATAGCTGAAATAAAACATTTTGGCGTCAAGGGCGTACCCAGGGGTGGCAATCGGGCCAGCAGCCCCCCTTTTTCCTGGAACATTTTTCACAAAAATTAAATTAGATGAGAAATTAGCAAGACTGGTTGAAACCTGTCAGATATAAACTCAATTTTGCTAAAAGCACATAGCGCTAAATAAAACTATTTTAGTGATGCTCGCGAACGAATAAACTCATATCAGTATACAGGGTGGCGCATCGAAAACGAAACAGACGCATTTACCGGCAGCTTAGTAAATGCGTCTGTTTAGTTTTCGATGCGCCACCCTGTATATTAAATATGAAACAAATTTATTTAGTAAGCTTAAGTATTGTATAAAATTGTTGTGTAAACATTTATAAGACAATATAAAAGCTTAATCGTCTTACTGTCAATGTTATTAAAACAAAATTGGGTTCTAAGAGCAGTAATACAGTAATTATAAAATTTAAACGTTGTATAAACGTTGTTAGAACGTTTTAAGCGGCATTGTTGTTTTATAACACACACTGTATGTTTATCCGATTTTCCGATTTTAATAATTTTTGGCTATATTGGTTCAGTATCCTTTACTAGTAAAATTGTTAATTGGGAGTTTTCCCTATCGATATGAATTGTAAAAACGTCGCGGAAGACTTTACATGCATGAATAAAACAATGACATGCAAATAGAAAAGAAAATCAAGCATCGAGAGCTAGATACGATTTTTGGAACTTTCTGCTATTTTGAGCTGGGTACGCCCTTATTCGACATACTCCTTGACATCTTGACTTCCGGAATATTATATAAGCTCAAACGAGACCTGACTGAAATCCGGAACGAATATAATTTACTAAACCTAAACTACAAAGAGCAAACAGAATGTAAGCCTAGATAGAGCTGCGAACACTCACATGATGTGTAAATGGGACGCAGAGTGCCATGGTGTCGATGTGGTTAGGTGTTAACCGGTAGGTCCTGCCGCCTCAGAAAGCCTGGCCTGTGATTTGTCATTCATTGCGTACCAAAATTGCCCAGATGCGACCAGAAACCAGAAACGTGAAGAAATATGTCCAAAGAGACAGCGAAAATCAGTGTTATTTGTATGTTGTAAAGAGGTTTTCATGCTGATAAAACTCCGAGTTTTTCTGTGATGAATGAAGCCACACATGTAAAAATTCTCTTTCGCTGACGTTGGCCTCTTTCAAAATACATTAAGACGAGTAATTTTTACACAGCTGCTTTGATTCGGTCAGAAAAACGTTTCTCGGAGTAACAGTGTGTATGTGCTGTCGATTTTGTGGGAATTGGTGATGTAAAGTGATGAAAATGATGATAGTGATGGTGAGGTATACACAGATTCTACAGTCGTTCACAATGACTTGATAAATCCTATGACGAGCGGTCATCGAACCTATTGGTTGAAGCTGAGGTGCGTCTCAAGGTTGTAGGTTGTATTCGATCCAATATAAAAGCGTGAAAGCCTTCTTTGCTATTCACTGCGTAAAAAAATATCAATAGCTCTAGATCACTTGTCAGGTCTAACTACGGCACCATGTTAAACAATGATCATTTTATAACGAACTCTCCACCGATATCTTGTACGTTCACTGATTTTTCAACAGTGCAAATATTGTTTCAACTATTTCGTAAGTTCAAATAGGTCTGTCTTTTGACATCTGAAAGATTAGTGTTTAAAGTGTGACATATAAATCCGAACACCCAGTTTAAATGGTTTTATTTTAATAAAATTTGGTATAAGTACTTAATGAAGCATAATAAGTAAATGATAAAAAATTCAAAATGATTGCACTGCTTTAAAGCCCTTTGACCTTTAATAATGTGTGGATGCACCCTGATGTGCTACGCATTCTCCAACGCGCCTAGGCATGCTTCTAATCAGGTGGTCAATGTCCTCCTGTGGTATTTCATTCCAGGCAACCACCAACTCCTCTCGAAGTGCTTCTAGAGTCTGAGGAGGACGTTGCAAATTGAGCAATCTCCTACCCATCATATCCCACACGTGCTCAATTGGGGATAAGTCGGGAGATCCTGGTGGCCATGGTAACAATGTGACATCATTATGTTGAAAGAAGTCTATTGTGACTCTTGCAACATGTGGTCGGGCATTATCTTGTTGGAAAGTTGGATCTGCCAGGGTGTCAAGATAGGGTAAAAGATGGGGTTCTAGAACTTCGTGGATATAACGCTGCGCGTTCATGTTACCTTTGATGAAGATTAAAGGTGACCTGGAACCATAAGCTATAGCACCCCAAACCATAACTCCAACAGTGTGATGAACATGTCTTTCAACAAAAAACTGAGGATTCCTCCTTTCACCACGTCGCCTTCTAACCCTGGCACGACCATCGTGCATGCCTAAACAAAATCGACACTCGTCACTAAAGACAATACTGTTCCATTCCTGATCCCAGAGTGACCGTTGTCTGCACCACTCAAGGCGAGTACGTCGGTGTTCTCGAGTTAAAGGGAGGACCCAGTGTGGCCGGTATGAAAACAAGCCAAAACTTCTCATTCGTCGGTAAACACTTCGCATGCCAATAGGTCTTCCGTGTTCTGCAAACCATTCATTTGCAATGGACCTGGTAGTGGAGAAACGGTCCCTTAAGGCCAATAATCTAAGGCGGCGATCTTCACGGTCTGTTGCTCTACGGCGGCGTCCAGTGCCCCTTGCTCTTTGCCTACGGCCTTCTCGAAGCCATGCCTGACAATACCTAACCACAGTGTCTACACTTCTTTGCACTCTAACTGCAATTGCCCGAAAAGAAAGTCCAGCTTCCCGAAGTCCCACTATACGGCCCCTATCAAACTCACTAAGTTGACGAAATCGTACAGTTCTCCGTACTCTAGGCATCGTAACCGATCGTAAAGGATGTCAAGAACCAAAATCCGCCAACGTTGATTCTTTACTGCGGCTGAAATATTCATTTTTAGAGCGTTAGTGAATTAAAAAAAAGCAGTATAAAAACCGGAATGTCCAACTGATAAGGCTGAACATTTTTTCACTTGTTATTTACAGTAAGATAAATACATTCACCAACTTTTATTAAAATAAAACCATTTAAACTGGGTGTTCGGATTTATATGTCACTTAGTATATATTAGAATGGTTTTGAAATCATTACAGATGTTCCAAAATTATACAACAAAACGCTAGAATTTGATGCGTCTTTAAAATTGCGTTAAGCAAAATTTCGGAATTCGGTTTATGGACGAGCGGTCATCGAACCTATTGGGTGAAGCTGACGTGCGTCTCAAGGTTCTAGGTTGTAGTCGATCCAATATAAAAAGCGTGAAGTGCCTTGGTATGAGCCTTCTTTGCTGTTCACTGCGTAAAAAATATCAATAGCTCTAGATCACTTGTCAGGTCTAACTACGGCACCATGTTAAACAATGATTATTTTATAACGAACTCTCCACCGATATCTTGGACGTTCACAATGCAAATATTGTTTCAACAAGTTAATAAGTTCAAATAGGTCTGGTTTTGGACATCTGAAAGATTAGTGTTTAAAGTGTGTGTTCAAGTATATAGAAGAGCTATCATCATTCAAATTACAAATCACGTATAAAAAATAATTTTATTCAAAAATACAATAAAAAATTAGTGTTTATTCACTAAACATAGCTTATTATGCAAACGGAATGTATATGATTATAAATATGCAAACGATCCAGAAGTAGAGGCAATTGATACAGAATACAAAATTTTATAACTACGATTAAGTATCTAACTAGAAGCTCATAACGTTCATTGTCTTTTATTTGTATCAACTGTCCTACCTTTGGGTCACTTAAAGCTTTTTAATTTGAAACACTCATTTAGGCATGCTTCTTAAGACCTACATTACAGCATTAAATCAAGCCATGACAAAATGTACAGTGAAGTGTATTCTGTTGAAAAAGAAAAATAAAATACGTGTACATAAAAAATTATAGTATTTATCAATTGATAAAATATAATTTGTACGTTGTTGCATTTTTATGTATCGTGAGACTAAGATAGTTGTCATCTATCTAAAATATAAACATGACAATACAGAATCTAGGATATATGACTAAACTACTTATATTGACTGAAAAATTGACTAATCGTAAATATACTGATTGAGAGATCGTTAGGCGAACTGGATATTTCTCGAAAATACATTTATTACAAGCTGGTGTTTGGTTATGTTTGTATTTTGCTCTTATCCTGGTAGAAAAGCGTCGTCGGCTAGGAATTCATGACCAGTTGAGAGAGAGAAAGAATGATGTCAAAGAAAATAAAACACCCGGTAAAAACGATTCTATGACTTCGAAGTTGAGTCATTTATTTTAACAGTGAGTAGATCTGATCAAAAGAAATGTTTTTTCCCTTTACCATTTTTCTGGTAAAATTAAAGTAACAAAGTTATAGCCCTTTGGAAGTTTGAGTACCGCCCTGTCTCAATAATAATATTATGTGCTCGTGTTTGGCGACAACGGATATAATCCGCCTTATCGGTTCATCGCATCGGAAACAAAAAAACGAAAGAATTTGGAACGATGTTTTTACAATTATTTCATTCAGTTGTATACAGTCAGTGTCAGTCGGTAACGCGTGAGTGAATAGTGGTGTCTGTTGCGTGGCTCAAACGAAATAAAAAATGGCACATGTTTATGCGGATCGGTTTCCCAATCGAGTGCAACCAACCCCTCGTGCCTTTGTTAATGTAGTACAACGGGCTCGTGAATCAGGTGACTTAAGACCTCACATGGGGACGGCATTCCATATCGATGGATTAGTAGAAGAGGTGCCATTGAATGGCCCCCAAGATCGCCAGATTTATCACCTTTGGATTTCTTTATGTGGGGTCATTTAAAAAGCAAAAGTTATAGCCCTTTGGAAGTTTGAGTACCGCCCTGTCTCAATAATAATATTATGTGCTCGTGTTTGGCGACAACGGATATAATCCGCCTTATCGGTTCATCGCATCGGAAACAAAAAAACGAAAGAATTTGGAACGATGTTTTTACAATTATTTCATTCAGTTGTATACAGTCAGTGTCAGTCGGTAACGCGTGAGTGAATAGTGGTGTCTGTTGCGTGGCTCAAACGAAATAAAAAATGGCACCTGTTTATGCGGATCGGTTTCCCAATCGAGTGCAACCAACCCCTCGTGCCTTTGTTAATGTAGTACAACGGGCTCGTGAATCAGGTGACTTAAGACCTCACATGGGGACGGCATTCCAGATCGATGGATTAGTAGAAGAGGTGCCATTGAATGGCCCCCAAGATCGCCAGATTTATCACCTTTGGATTTCTTTATGTGGGGTCATTTAAAAAGCAAAAGTTATAGCCCTTTGGAAGTTTGAGTACCGCCCTGTCTCAATAATAATATTATGTGCTCGTGTTTGGCGACAACGGATATAATCCGCCTTATCGGTTCATCGCATCGGAAACAAAAACACGAAAGAATTTGGAACGATGTTTTTACAATTATTTCATTCAGTTGTATACAGTCAGTGTCAGTCGGTAACGCGTGAGTGAATAGTGGTGTCTGTTGCGTGGCTCAAACGAAATAAAAAATGGCACATGTTTATGCGGATCGGTTTCTAAATCGAGTGCAACCAACCCCTCGTGCCTTTGTTAATGTAGTACAACGGGCTCGTGAATCAGGTGACTTAAGACCTCACAGGGGACGGCATGCCGGTGCTCCAAGACCTCACGATCAAATACAGGTCCGCACTGAAATACTTGTCGGGAGGATAGTAAATTTTTATTTTTATTTTTACACACATATTTTGGTTTATCTTCCTTCTACAATCATTATCTGAAAGTTAATGACTCAACTTCAAAGTCTATAGTATAAGCAAGAGGATTCGTCATTCGGGCATCCTTTTGATAAGGTGATTTTTGTTTTCTCGAGTTATCTCATCACAAGCTAGTTGTATGATTAAGATTGAGAGAAATTAGGGAAAAGTTGCTTTCTTTAGGGCGTATTTGCATGCCGTTGA